ACCAAATCAGTGCAACCTGTCCTCGTTCTGCACACTCCCCTTGAGCTAACTGGCCACACCAAATCAGTGCAACCTGTCCAGATCTTTCTTTTGAGACACATGCTTACTAATCTGCCCACCAACAAGCAGTGGCTCCAGTCCACATAAAACAGAAATCTCCACCCACCCCCCAGAAACAACTGATAGTCTTCCCTGACTCAGGGAACACTACCACTCCCAACCCAGGCCCACAGAGCAGAATTCCAGCAGTCATCCCTGGCTCTTCCATTTCCCTCACAACCAGTGCCCAACTAGTTACCAAATCCAGTTGCTTCTGCCCAACCCTTTTTAATTTTTAAAAAAAATCTTATTTATTTGACAGAGAGCGAGAAAGGGAACACAAGCAGGGGGAGTGAGAGAGAGAGAAGCAGTCTCCCCGCCCAGCAGGGAGCCCGATGCAGGGCTTGATCCCAGGACCCCGGGATCATGACCTGAGCCGAACGCAGACGTTTAATGACTGAGCCACCTAGGAGCCCCCCCCCTTTTTAATTAATGTTTTCTACATATTTAACTAACTTATTTATTTACTTATTTATCTTATTAAGGTATAGGTGATATACAATGTTCCATTAGTTTCAGGAGTACAACATAGTGGCTTATTACATTATGCTCACCACAAGCCTAGCTACCATCTGTCACCATACAACATTATTACAATACCATTAAGAACATTCCCTATGGGCGCCTGGGTGGCTCAGTTGGTTGGGCGACTGCCTTCGGCTCAGGTCATGATCCTGGAGTCCTGGGATCGAGTCCCACATCAGGCTCCCTGCTCAGCAGGGAGTCTGCTTCTCCCTCTGACCCTCCCCTCTCTCATGTGCTCTCTCTCTCTCATTCTCTCCCTCAAATAAATAAATAAAATCTTAAAAAAAAAAAAAAAGGACATTCCCTATGCCAGGGGCTCCTGGGTGGCTCAGTCATTAAGGATCTGCCTTCGGCTCGGGATCAAGCCCCCCATCGGGCTCCCTGCTCCGCGGGAAGCCTGCTTCTCCCTCTCCCTCTCCCCCTGCTTGTGTGCCCTCTCTTGCTGTGTCTCTCTCTGTCAAATAAATATATAAAATCTTTAAGAAAAAGAAAAAGAAGAACATTCCCTATGCTGTACCTTTCATCCCAGTGACTTGCTTCTGCCTCTTTACCATCTCTTTTCTCAAAACTACTAGTTTATTTAAACCCTTGTCTTCTCTTGCCTACTGCAGACTATTCCAACCAAAAGTCCTTTGGGAAATCACTTAAATCAATCTCTCTTCCCTAGAGAATAAAATCCAAGTTTTTAAGGCAATCCTCAAACCCCTCCATGATCTGGTCTCTGCCTGTGGCTCTGGCCTCATTTCTTAATATACATTCCGCCAGCACCTACAAACCTTCAAATTACATTTCAGCAACCCTAACGTGATCAAAGCTCCCCAACAGACTAGGTCGTTTCAAGCCCCTCAGATTTGCATGGTGCTTCCTTTTCCCAGGCTGACCTTCAGCCCCTTGTTCACATTCACCTTCCAAACCTCAGTTAAGAACGTCCTAATCATCCGAACGCCTCGTGGAGCACCCTGACCTCCAAAACTGACCCTGTGCTGTGTGTCCCCATGTACTGCTGCAGCCTGTCCGGAGCGCCTATTAAGCTACCGTCGTCGCGACAGGCTCTCTCGGTCACCGGCCCCACCAGGCCTCTGCTCTCACAAAACAGGACAGGAACCACTTATCTTCGCGCCCTCAGCACCTGCCCCACGGTCCGGCAAACACAAGACAGTAAAAGCTGTTGCCTGAGGAAATAGGCGAGGACCTGACGTCCCAAACGAGGTCCAAAGAGCTTAGGAATAGATGGCGAGAGATGGTAACCCCTTGGAGAACTCAAAGCCCAGGGTACAACACCGGCGGAAGAGACGGAAAGTTGTGAATTAAAAGTCGGACGACAAGAAGAGTTTCCGGGCGGCCTAACACCCTCTGAGGGAGTCCCAGGGTCCTGGAGGAGGCGCGGGCAGCGGGAGCTCACGACAAACTCCCACCCCGCAGAAGACGGAACGCGTACCCTCGGGGCTCAGGGAGAGCTCTTCAGAAGGGGAGGAAAACCGCGACTCACCCAGACGGCCGCCGTCCGGACCCTGGTGGCCATCCCCACGGTTGGTGCTGCGCGTCCCGCGGGCGGAGGCAGGACCCGAGGGCTGCCGCGGAGGAAAGAATCGCGAAGGCAGCGGTCTCCCCGCCGCTCCCCCCCGCCCCGCACGGAGGGAGGGTCCCGGGCCCCAGCCCCCGCGGGGCCTCCTGCCCCCACGGAGCCCCGGGGCTCCCGCCTCCCACGCTCCTCCTTCCCAACACACGCGCGGTCGGGTCAGAACACTGTTCCAAGTCTGCGCAGGAGCGAGTGAGGTCGCAAGTCTCTACAGTCCTGCCGCCTTGAAGCTGAAGGGACTGGGCGCGTCGGGCTCCACGGACCCCTCAGCCGGCAGCCGGGGGACTCGGGGGAGACTGGCGGCCTCTACCTCCCGGATCTGCAGTCACATCGGCTCTGGCCTTCCTCCGCCGCGGGTGCTGCGGCCACGACTCTCGAGGAAGACGTGGTCGACCCCCTTCCGCTCGGGTCACCGCGACACGAAACTGACACACACCGGGAAACAGGATTCTCTAGGCCCGGCCCAGCCAATGGCGGCCGTGAGGGACGCACAGGAAACGCGTCGATGCGACCCCAGGGCGGGGCGAACTACAACTCCCAGAAGCCCCTGCAGGAGTTCCTCCGGCGCGGGGCGGGGCAGGCGCCCTCCGAGGGCCAGCCGCGGTGGGCGTGCTGCAGCGAGAAGCTCGGGTTCTCTGCGTCCGGACCGTGGGCGCCCGCGCTGTGGGCTTTCGGTACCGCAGAGAATTGCAGTCGTGAACAGCGACAGCACAAAGGCGGGAGTGGTCTCAACTGAGGTAAAAATGTTCTAACTCCTCTGCTTTTGCGAAATGGGGAATGTCCAGATTTACACCCTAGAAACTCAGAAATTCATAATAACGTGTTAACATTAATGACACTTTAATGAATATTAATTAAAAATTAGTGAGCAGTGGCATTGTTTGACACTTTTCTCGGGCGAAAAATCTTTTAAATGTCTGACTTAATAGAAAACGGCTGGATTCTCATGCTTGCCTCTGCGTTCAACCTGTTGCAAATGTTTCTGTGGAAGTATTAGGAGAAAATCCAGTCTCACACAGGTGTGTAGCTGGAAGAGAACCGGGTATTTTAATATGCACCAGATAATTGTGTATATCCTTGGATAGCACAGGCTAAACAAGGGATACTTCAGTTGCAGTGTACAGTCTGAAACCGGATCGGTGAACTTCTACTCTATCACATCAAAATCTCTGTCTATCTTGCACTTTGGACAGTCTTATTATGCGTGCTTCTGTAACATCCTGAACTAATCATGTGTAAATATTGGTTCACTGACTTATGCAGATCTTCCAGATGTGGACACATTTCACTTTACAACATGAAAAATTGCATTTAATAATAATATCATTGATCTTAAGTATTGGGAAGCTGTGAAATTCAGTGGCAGATACAAGTTTTCCAAAGTTGTACTATTCATTTGGAAACTAATTTGGGGGGGGGCGCCTGAATGGTTCAGTCCGGTGGTAATTTTGAACCCAATTCAGGTTTTCATTGCAGGGCCGTGATTTCAAGCCCTGCCTTAGGCTCCACACCTAGAAAACTCGAATTTGATGTTGGCAATTAATAAATACTGTCATTTGTTTCCCTTGAAGTTACAAGCTCACTTGGTTGATTTTTGAGAAAATCCATGAGTGCCCTGTCTTCAGTCCTTTTTTAGCAAGGTTAAGCTCCCAAATCAAACAATCACACAAGTGCTTTTTAATAACCATGGAACTTCAGTATGCAGCACAGAATATTTGTTGAACAGATATTAAAAAGATATGTACTTAGGTTGATTTAATAAATACTTTTACTGCTCTATCAAGGACATCATAAAGTGAAATAAATCCTAGATAAATACTAAATGTGGACAGGCTATAAAAGTTTTACACTGAAATGTAGTTAGCATCCTTTGCCCACTGATTTGTTAAATAATTTCAATCATATACTAGTTTCTCATATTCTATTAAATTTCTATGCTCCTGCAACAAGTTAACAACAAACTTGGTGGCTTAAAACAATATAAATGTATCTTAAAGTTCTGTAGGTCAAAAGTTCCACACAAGTCTTACTGGGCTAAATCAAAGTGTTGGCAGGGATCCATTCATTTCTGGAGGCTCTTGGGAAAGGATCCTTTCCCTTGCCTCTTCCAGATTTTACAGGCCATGTGCATTTCTTGGATCATGGCCCATTTCCTCTGCATTCAAAACCAGCAACAGAGTTGAGTACTGTTCACATCATTCTGGCCTCCACTGTCTCCCTCTTCCACGTTTAAGAATGTATGGATTACATTGGGCACATTTGGATAATGCAGGGTTAGCAAACTTCATTCTCCTTTGTCATGTAACATATTCAGAGATTCTAGGATTAGGGTGTGGACATCTTTCTGGAGCCATTATTTTGCCTACTGTGTGTCTGTGAATCTATCTCTAGTCTTTTTATTTCATTTCACTGATACTTGCCTACAATGAGGGTCTGCAAACTTTTTTTGGTAAAAGTCCAGTGTATTATTGTGCTAGGGGCTGCCATGGTAAAGTACCATAGTCTGGGTGGCTTAAACAACAAATTTATTTTCTCACAGTTCTAGAGGCCGGAAGTCAGAGATCAAGGTGTCGACAGAGTTGGTTTCTTATAATACCTTTCCTCATCTCCCTGTGTCCCCACATGGTTGTCCCTGTGTATGTGTCTGTGTCCTAACCTCTTATAAGGACACCAGTCAGATTGGATTAGTGCCCACCCTAATATCATTATTTTAACTTAAAATGTTTAAATTTGAAAGACCCAAAACAGTCAACATTCTGAGTTACTGGGGATTAGGAATTCAATATAGGAATTTGGGGGAGGGAGATAATTCATCCTTTTACAATAAATTAGTAAATATTTTAGGTTTTGTGCACCACAATTACTGAACCTTGCCATTGTATCACAAAAGCAGCCACAGATTAATACGTACATGAATGAGCATGGTTACGTTCCAGTAAAACTTTAATTACAAATGTAGACAGAAAGCCAGATTTGGCCTATGTCCATTGTTTGCTGACTCCTGGTCAACACTATGCCAGTGTACCAGTCTTGTTATTAAATTAGAATAAGCCTTGAAAAGCAGTAGGTCAAAGCCTTTTTAAATTGTTGTTCTTTAAAATGGTCTGTTATTGGGGTGCCTAGGTGGCTCAGTCGTTAAACAGTCTGCCTTCGGCTCAGGTCATGATCCCAGGGTCCTGGGATCGAGCCCCGCATCGGGCTCCCTGCTCAGCGGGAAGTCTGCTTCTCCCTCTCCCACTCCCCCTGCTTGTGTTCCCTCTCTCGCTGTGCCTCTGTCAAATAAAATCTTTAAAATAAATAAATAAATAAAATGGTCTATTTTTATTCCTTTGGTCTTGCATGCACATTTTAGGCTTCAATTACCACATTTCATGTAAAACCCTTTATAATACATTATGATAGAACTATTAGGGTGTTGTCTTCATATGGTACACACGGTTGCTTCACTATCCAATAACTATCCTCTCTCCTTCCTCTTTGCTAGAAGAACTACGTACGTTTAGGTATTGGTTGGCCATGTTTATGGCATTCCCCTTCTAGATTCAGTGAATGAATGCTGAGTTCTTCAATTCATTCCACAAATATTTACTGAATGCCTACTATGAGCTAGCCACTGCATTAGGCACAGGGCATAGGTCAGTAGTTAAAACTAGGATCTGGGGCGCCTGGTGGCTCAGTCGCTGAGCGTCTGCCTTCAGCTGGGGTCATAATCCCGGGGTCCTGGGATCGAGCCCCGCATCGGGCTCCCTGCTCCGTGGGAAGCCTGCTTCTCCCTCTCCCACTCCCCCTGCTTGTGTTCCTCCTCTCACTGTCTCTGTCAAATAAATAAAATCTTTAAAAATAATAATAATAAATAAATAAATAAAACTAGGATCCTTGGGGGACGCCTGGGTGGCAGTTGGTTGAGCATCCAACTTATGATTTCAGCTCAGGTCATGATCTCAGGGTTGTGAGATTGAGCCCTGGGTCAGGCTCCATGCCCAACGTGGAGTCCACTTGAGATTCCCTTTCCCGCTAATGTGCTCTCTAAAATAAATAATCTTTAAAACAAACAAACAAACTAGGATCCTTGAGGCACCTGGCTGGCTCAGTCGGCTAAGTGTCCAACCCTTGATTTCAGCTCAGGTCATCTCAGGGTGGTGAGATCTAGCCCTGCATCGGGCTCCACATCTCTCTCTCCCTCTGTCTCTCTCCACTGCTCTAAAATAAATAAATCTTAAAAAAAAAAAAAAAAAAAACCACTAGGATCCTTTGTGAAGCATTTATTTTGGCAAGGGAAGACAGATGATTGAATGCTTGATAGACTACTGCAAAATGAAAGGGATAGGGTAAAGGGGATTAGCAGTACCAGTGGGGTGGCTGCAGTTTTAAATAAAGCAATGCCTGTTTCCTAGGTCACCTGTAACAAAGTACCACAGAGTGTGGGCTTCAACAACAGAGATTTGTCTTACAGTTCTGGAGGCTAGAGGTCCAAAATGAATTTGTTGGTAGGGACTGGTTTCTTCCGAGGGCTGTGAGGGAAGGATGTTACAGGCCTCTGTCCTTGGCTTGTAGACCCACCTTCTCCTGGTGTCTCCCCACATCATCTTCCCTGTGTGTGCACCTCTGTATCCAAATGTTCCCCCCTTTTAAATATAAGTACACTATTGATATTGGATTATGGCTTGCACTAATGACAACTTGATTACCTCTATGAAGACCCTTTCTTCAAGTAAGATCACGTTCTGGTAATGGGGGATGGCTTCAACACATGAAATTTGGGAGCACAGAATTCTACCCATAACAGGTAGGGTAGAACTTGTTTGTAAGGTAACACATCCTAAATCTAATATTTTTCCACAGGGCTGTGTGATAAGAGAACTTTGTCATTAAAAATATCTAAAGCTAACGGCTGAATTTCTAATGTGTAGAGCAAAAAGCAGTTGGTTTTTCCAACTCCATGAAGCCACAAATCTATGGACCCTTGCCATCTATCTCCTAAATTGGTCTCATTGCTGGGATATCTTGCCAACCTCAACCAACACCTATTTACACACACCCTTTCTTTCAACCAATTCCTGTACAGTCGCTAAGACGCTGAATACATGGTCAGCTTGCAATTTATTTAACAGCAAAATTTTCACCTTCTTCGCATTTGACAGGAAGGGCAATTCCACAGACTAATCAGTGTATGCTTAATTCATGGATGAATGTTAAGAAAATTCTTTCTGGGGCGCCTGAGTGGCTCAGTTGGTTAAGCGTCTGACTCTTGGTTTCAGCTCAGGTCATGGTCTCAGGGTTGTGGGATCAAACCGTGTCAAACCCTGCTTGAGATTCTCTCCCTTTCTCTCTTCCTTCCCTCTGCCCCCCCCCCTCCACATGCTCTCTCTCAATAAATAAAATCTTGAAAAAAAAATGCTGTCTGAATCCCCATGAGCCTATAACGGTGGTGACTGAGGATACTGGGGCCTTTAAAATTCCTGTGGTTTCCCATTACCCTTAGGATAGTGC